GATCCTGACGACATTTTGTCTAATCTCTGTTTACAACTATCTGCGTCTGAAGATCAATTAAAAGACTCGTCCCACGTCGTTCTCTCTCCACACAGACGAGGAGACAAAGTGTGAATATGGGCTGTTTGCATTTGATTGATTTAATTGACTGTTTGCCTGCGGACGACCAAAGCTGCTCAAACCTGATTGGTCAAACTAGAGACGGACACCAGAAGCCTCCTCGTCTCCAGATTCATTCATTCACATGAAGAAGAATGTGTTTGTAAAGATTCACCACTGGTCGTTCTGTGTCTCCAGCTTCAGCTTTGCTCCGGCGCCATTTAAGGTTTTATTGAAACCAGAAGGGACCATAGTTGGAGGAGCTGGTGGGTGGAGCCTGACTGAGAGCTCAACGACAGTGCGCGCCCACCTACACCTGCCGCCCTCTCCCATTGGACGGTACTGGCTGTCAATCACAGCCAGTCTATTTGACTGCAAATGATCATAATTGATAAATGAACATCAGCTGTGTTGAAGAGAGAGACGGAGACAAAAACTCCTGAGGACAAAGTTTGAAAGAAATTTGTCTCTAGAGTTTAATTATCCGACAGGACAACAAGGACCGTAAATAACGATGGACGATATTAGAGCTCGCAAAAGTGAAACCGAAACATCTGGATCGCCCCCTGGCTGCAGTACAGGTCATAAACACCACCTCCTCCATGTTAGCAGATGGGAGATGGACCAAACTCAAACTAAGCAGACGTTAAATAAATGTTTGTTAGCTCTTATCTCACTGAGGATGTTCGTGTTTCTGATCAGTTCGGTTTGATGATAGAGAAACAGGCTGAAGCGTCATGATTGACATGTGAGACTGACTTGTGATTGGTTGAGAGTGTGTATGGGCGGGACCTTCACACCATGGCTACACTCCACGATCACTACTGGAGACGTGTCGACCATCTTTATTCAAAGTTTATATCCCGGGAACATTTTTGTGCTTTTCTGCTGCATGCTGGGAGTTTTTTGCGGCGTACTGTCTGAGTGTTTGAAGATTAAACTTCTTTCTACTTTTGTTCTTTTATTTATTTCGTTTTCGTTAGAAAAGATGAGAATGTAAAGGACAGACTTCTGTTTGTTAAGAGGTTAATTCCAATAGAAAAGAAAAAACATGCTACATTGAAAAGTGAAAGACAAATGAAGAATTAGAGCTGGTGCGAAAAATCTAAAGTAAAGGATGGAAAGAAACGAAGGACGGAAATGGACGAGACTCTAGACAAAGTGAGGGATGAAGACGGAGGGAGCAGACCAATACCTTTCCTCCTTGCTGCAGTTAGCGTTTGTGATATCCAAGCTTTTACTGAAAACAGATTTGCTAAAAAGGGGCAGACAGAAAATGAAGAGACAGACAGAGAGGCAGTCATGTCAGGGGAATCCTAATACCCAGCATGCAACAGTCAAAACAAAAACAAACCCAAACAAACACATTCAGCACCGAAACAAAAAATCAATCACCACGAAACAAAGAGCAACAAAAAAAACCTCAAACATGCACAGGACCATGAAGCAGGAGGAGAAGCTCATTCATGGGTCATGCTCGAGGACGTTGGACACGCTCGCTCGCTCGCTCGCTCGCTCGCTGCAGAGAGAAATGTGTTCAAGCGTCTCATGTTCAGTTTAATCAGCGACGAGAAAAACCCTCGGAGACGAGACAACAGCAGCCGAACTGTGACGAACACAAAACTAGGTTCCGTCTGTCGGAGCAGAAACATGTTGAGAAGGTTCGAAGGTTTTCTAATCGAAAGCGTTTCGATAGAAAACGTCACAATTTCTCACGATAAAGAGAAAAACTGAGAAACGGGAAAAGGTTCCGTCAGTATTTTTCAAAGCTGAACAGTTACGATGCATCATGAGTTAAAAACAAAGTCATAACGTGATGATCAGCTGATGTCGAGGTGAAGATACAAACAAATCTCTGCATCAACAACGAGCAGCACAGAAATACGTTCGAACCGTAGCATCAGAGACGTCGGGTCCTTCACACGAGGCCCCGTGCCTCCCAATGGGACTGTATCCCAGGATGCATTTGGGTGCATTAGAGCTTATGACCTCGGACGTTAACAGAGGATCTGAACGGGGTCAAAATCATTCACTCAAACGTTTTTCAAACTTTGGAGAAACACATCTTTTAAACCTCCTCCGTGTTAGCAGACGGGACATGAACCAAACTCAAATATCAAACTAGACGTTAAATAAATGTTTGTCAGAGATGGTTTCTGTCGTTATGTTCAAATGTTCATGTTTGGTTTTATTGGATGATATAGAAACAGGCTGAGACGTCGTGATTGACAGCTGAGACTGACTCGGCTTCGTTTTAGCAGAGGAGGAAGTGGAGACGAGTCGTCCATCTTTAAAAACTGTCTATGAGATTCATTGAAAAATAGATTTTATGAATAAATTTAAAACTGAGACTGAAGAAAATCTCCTGGAACAATAAGACGATGATCTTCTGTCATGATTCTGCAGCAGATTTATTCTCTGACAGCAGCTCATGTTCTGTATTTTCTTTAGAATCATCGCCGCGCTCTGACCGAGACGTTCTGACTCGTCCGAACGATCGGAGACGCTCAGCGTCTCCCTTTGTGTCGACTCAGTTAAAGTGATGTCACTCTTCATCTCATGACTTAATCCTCTGATCTTTTATTCAGTTGAACACTCCTGAGTCTTCATGATGAAATCCTGACATCATTGTTTTGTAGCTCTACTTTTATCCCAGCCCTGTTGCGTTTGAGAAAAATACGTATCTTTAAAAGTTTATCTACTGTAAATACACTTTGTAATGGTCTTTTAGAAATGAACTGAAAAAAAACTTTTATGATTCATATAAACATCTTTTCCCACGAAATTCAGTGAAAATGCTCAAAAGAGAAGAAGCACTATTTGTGTTTCAGTGTCACAAAGGTAAAGATTATATCCAGACTTCATCTCTCACTCACGTCCTCTCTTCCTGTCCGAGATGCTTGGTGTCCTGACCGCATGCTCCATGCACACTTGACCCCATCATGCATTTCAACAACTGATTTTCCACCAGAGCAAAGAATGTGTGGAGGGTCTGAAGACGGAGTTTACGTATGTCTGGTCTCGAATGTAGTTTACACTGAACGTCCTGAGCCAACAGGCGAGAATGATGCGTTGAGTACTTAACTGCAGCTCCGTGAGGGGGGGGAGGATTTACAGCGGAGGACACGAGTGACGATAAGTGAACCAAGGTGGCGTTGAGGGCAAACAGACGACGTGTGAGACATAAATCTGCTCCTCCTCCCTCCCTTCACCGAACTGAGGTTAAATACTTTGTTTTATCACAACAATCGTCAAAGACACTTTGAACAACACACACGAGCTGCGTCTCAGTTCAGCGGCGACTCGTCGACGCAGACGTCGGCTGCAGCCTCCAACAGTCGCATCAGCCGAGACGAAACGAGACGGTCTTGTCTTCCTGTTGCGCCACCAGCTTGTCCCGCCGTTACAGCCGTCGCCTAGCAACAAGCTACAGACGAAAACGTCCTTCGGTTGATTAAAATGTTGAACATGTTTTTTTTAACGCGTGTAGCGTTAGCTGTACGAGTATTTACATTTAAAATAGAACCTTTTTGAAAAACAGTTACCGAAGCGCAATGAATTATGGGATATGCCTCTGTTGCTCAGGGCAGGACACACTTGTCTCGTTGCGTCGCTGTGACGTCATCGTTCAAGGAATGCAGCCGACGAGGGACGCGGACCCTGAGTCGAACAAAGCTACTCGCTCGTGTGTGTCGGACATGTTTCGTCCATGCTCGTGAACATACGTGCAGATTCCATCTCTCACCTCTGTCCGTGCGTTGCCATGTCGAGGGCTCGTCGTACCGGTACAGGAGACCCCCCCTCCGTGACGCTCAGCACCTCCATGGACTTCCTCTCCGGTCTCCGTTTGCCGTGACGGCTCAGCATCGGCGAGTCCACGCGCTTCCTGGGTGGGTCAGCTGAGCGAGGTGTCGGGGCGAGGCCGGGGGTCAAAGGTCAAATGAGGGCAAACATTAGTTGAAGAAATGACACAACCTCGAACTGCAAACTAAATCTAAACAAGTGTAACTTCGTGATTTCAGAGGAATAAATGTTTATAATATTTTCAAAAAGGATGTTAACAGGAATATGAACAAATTATTCTAGACGCAACTCATTCATTATCAAAATAATGTTCAACAGTCAGACAGTTGGTGTCCGTGGTAACGAGTAACGTCTTATATCCAATAACATCGTGGACGCTGAAGTAATTCTAACAGAAAACCTTTGAGGGCGGAGTAACGCATATTAACTATGGACGTAACTTCACTGAATGTGTTACCATAGTTTCCTTTTGTCTTAAAATGCAGGTGAAGTTTGGATTTACAGAAAATCAAGAACCAGAGCAGCTGCAGCCGCGGCGGTGTGTGTGTTTCCCTGAGTTCAGCTGGACTCCACCTACCGATCTCGCTCATCGGAGGCAGGTTCTGGTCCTCCTGGCTGGGATATCTCTCCTTACGGTCCAGGAGGAGGAAGTAGATCATCTTTTCCTGGTTGTCACTGAGGAGAGAGGACAGACGCTGGTTGAGAGCGGGACAGTACGATGCTCCATCATCAGCCGACGTTTTAAATGAGAGAATTCATCAAAGTGACAATCTCTGAGCCGTCTCATAGATTTCTCAGCCCCCCCCTCATCAGCTCCTTCCTTCTCCATCCCTCTCGCTTTAACCTGCTTCCTCTGCTGGTTTGATCGCCTCTTTACTCCCTCCACCCTTCCTCCCTCTGCTCCTCCTCCTCACTCACTCCTCAGACAGCAGGTCTTTGGCCAGTTTGTCCTTGTCTCTGAAGCAGCCCAGCGAGTGCATGCTCTCCAGGACGTCAGGGTCGATCTCCTCGGCTGCAGCCAGCGTCCTGATGGCCACCTTCCTGGGGACCGGCTGCTCCGGCTCGGGCTCGTTCTTTCCAGCTCTGCAACACAACACATGCAACTAACTGACCGGCTGGTGCGGAGAGTTTGAGACGGTTTGTGTCTGTGATGTTAATAACTCAGGTCCGACATGTCGGGACTCACTGGACACAAACCTCTCTGGACTGTTCATTAGAATAAAAGAATAAAAACACGTGGTTCAAAGCTGCTTTTAAATTGTGAATAATGATTTTTCGTTTCTGATTATTAGGCTTTGATTGTCTTTGAGCATTTTTAAAAGCAGTCTATAAATAACTGATTATTAGATGATGTGGATGAACTGTTGCTGACCCGTGCGATCGTCTGACTGCTCGTGTTTATCGACCGGATTTCACAGCGTCCAGATCTCAGTTTTTACTTCAGTGAGTAAAATGATATGACGACAGAAAAAAAAGAGGCATGAAGTTCAACAAACCAGATGAAGTGACTCAAATTCTCTGAGTCTTAAAGTCATGAACAGAATTCTGCTCTTTTCAAACCCACAAACAGTGAATGCATCAGAGATCAGTCTGTTCTGATGTGACAGAGCTCTCACTCTGATGACTAATGGACCTGCTTGTTCTCTGAGACACAAATATACATAGATATATATATATTTATATTTATATACTCACAGGTACCAAGTGTGCTTCTGGATCTGCTCTAACTGTAAAAGAAATCAGAGGAAACAAACATTAATGACGAGTTAAACAAGAAGCTTTTTATTTAACATATATCAGGTTGTTGTGATGTTTATTAAATCCACTGTCCTCGGCTTCACCTGAGTTTGTATTAATGAACCCGACCAGTTTGAAGTCTGATCAGCAGCAGGATGTTTCCAAAAATAACTTTAAGCTCAGAAAACTGCAGACACATCAGTGAAATCACATTATCTAATTCGCCCTCTGTTATTTTTGTCATGTTTCTATTCTGAGACAAACACAAATCCCGGGCCTGGGATGAAACGGTTTTATTCAGGGCACAGTGACTCACTCAGCTCGACGTGTCCTCAGCCGTCTCTAAAGCAACAGCAGCAGACTGTGAAAATGCAAAGTGAGTCGGGGTCTCCTGAGGGAAGACCTCAGCCCTCGCCTGCTCTGCCGCCCGGCGCTGGTGACTTTGGGTGTGAACTCACCGTGAGCCTCTTCCCAGCGTCCACTTCAATCATGCCGCGCAGGAGGTTCTGACAGTCTGGAGGGATGAAGTGAGGCATGTGGAAAACTCCCAGCTTCACCTTCTCCAAAAGATTCCTCAGGTTGTCGTCATCAAACGGGAGAGCGCCCTGGACAACGGGACAGGGGACATGTCAACCAAACCTTCTTCTACTGGTTCAATGGCTTCACAAGTTTTAACTCATGATGAAATGTTTTCTGCTGCATTTCCAACATCACCCAATAAATACAGTTTGATAAAGATCTGGTCAATGACAGGAGCACGTTCACCTGAAGGTCTGTTCACTTTAAACACTTCAATTCAATAAAGGACAAACTTGATATTCGTCAACGAGTGAAGCCACTTTCTGTCCACACTTTCTGTCCACACTGTCTGTCCACACTGTCTGTCCACACCTTCTCCAGTCAGACCTGACCTGGACACATCAGCTGGTGCGTGGCGTGGAAAGGTCAAAGGTTTTGACAGGATCAGCAGAATCAAACAGTTAACGAGCATCTGCGGAACATTTCTGAACATGTGGCCAACGACCTTCCAAACGAGCCAAATGTTTAAAAGAAGGAAATTCTTGCCTGACGGAGGAACGGGAGAGAAGGTCAGGGGGACTCTGAGTGTATCTGTACTAAAATCTGTGGCTCACAGGGCAAAAATCAAACCTGTGACATTTGCAAACATGACACAGGCTTCAAACTTCCCTTTCAGGGTACGAGTCACTGCACCGACGTCCTGTTGTCATGTAGACGACCTGTCAGGCGTCAGGAGACGGAGGCAGTTTGTGCGAGACACAGTTTCAGTCCTCACAGCCGGAGATGATGGAGCCGTCTGCTCCTGCGCTCGGTGACGTGATGACAGATATGACGGCCGCCGGCAGCACGCCGGTGATCAAATGGACACAAGTGGTGAGATCTGTCTGCACACGATGAGCGTGTCGCACGCTCCGTCACGTGTGCACAAACACGTAACGTGTCACTGTAGCTTCATCGAGCTGCTGGTGGGAAAAGTCTGTGTTGTGTGATTGACAGGTCGCGTTCACACACAACGTAGAACGGTCATTAAATATTATTATTAATAATATTTATAAATATATAAATACTCAAACATGTTTCGAGCATCTTCAGGCGAGAGGAAAGTTCCCTCACAAACCGAACACCACGGAAACACTGCCTCAGATCCAGTGGGAGACTAAACGTCTGAAACACTAAATCCAATTATGTCCGAAAAGAAAGTTTATGATTTTAGAATTAAGAAATAAATTCATGTCAAGAATCCGGGAAACTAGAGGTCGACACTTTAAACTCGTGAATAAGATATAAAATGAAGCCTGAGTAGAAAACTGGGAAATTACGTCTCAGCCCATTTGTGAAGACGCATAAATAAAGATGGACGACACGACTCCACTTAATTTCCCTTTTGAAAAATGGAGCTCAAATATCTCGCTGCCATCTGGAGTCTGAGCAGCAGAGACGGTGAAGTGGAGTCTTGGGATCAAGGTCCCGCTGATACACACTGGATCAATCAGGAGTCAGTCTCAGCTGTCAATCAAGACGTCTTGTATCCTCAAATAACAAATTAAAACTGATCAGAAAGCTAAAACATTTCAAATCAACCTGAAAAGACAGAAACTATTCAAATGGAATTAAAATCTGAAACACAAACACGTAGATCACGACGTTCCGGAGCAGAAATCAAAAGCACAATGTTGCGTCTGTTTCCTCGACTTCAAGGAACAAGGTCACTTCATGTCACTCACCACTAACAGTGCGAACAGGATGACTCCGCAGCTCCAGGCGTCTGCTTTCCTCCCGTCGTACTTCTCCCCCTGGTGGACACAGATGAGACTTTATGGTAGAAAAGCTAAACTCAAACTTCTCTGCTTCTCAACTCTTAAAGAAAATATCCATGGATCTTCCTACAGGACGACGTCAGCCCCTTCGGATGCTGTCTGCACGGTACAAGTTACTTTGGGAGGAAGAGTTTGACGATTCTTGTTCTGGTGTCTCCGACCTGCCTCGTCTGGAGGCGGAGATCAGTGTACGCACTACAGGGACTTCCTGTCAGCAGGTTTACGCAAAAACTACGGGATGAATAACCTCGAAACATGGAGGACGGATGGGGGTGTGTCAGGGAGAAGTTTGGTTTGGATGTGGACGAAGGATCCAGGATCTCTTTCTTTATTACTGTGAGAGAGGACGTTTTAAAATCAACTAAATATAAATAATATTTTCACTATTGCAACGAAGAATTCTTTACAGATCTCGATGTTCGGAGGACGGATGTTTGTGTGTGATGCGGTTCAGCTTCATTAAATTGAACCGAGCTCGACTGAGTGACGTTCTACGCCCTGAGAACATCTCGCCTCTCGCCACACCCTGCGACTGAAGCTGCACAGCTAATGGATGAATCGAGAAAAGCATCATCATTTAGTTTTGGGCAGCCGTCCACGAGAATCAAAGGAGACACGAGGAACATACACGTGAAGAGTATTTTAACCCAGGGCAGGAGGAGGAGGAGGAGGAGGAGGAGGAGGAGGAGGAGGAGGGAGCAGGATGAAAGCTGTGATGTAAGAGATTCTGGTCGGAGCTGCTGTTACTGTATGAAAGAGAGAGAGAGAGAGAGAGAGAGAGAGAGAGAGAGAGAGAGAGAGAGCACTTACCCTGATCACCTCTGGGCAGGCGTAGTGTGGAGATCTGCAAAAGAGGCAAAGAAGCCGTTATGATGCTGGAAAGACTCACAACATTACACACAAAGACACACACACACACACACACACACACACACACACACACAGTGATACTTTGAGGAGATGAAAACATCTTCAAACATTTAAAGGAGGAGAAAAGACAAAGAGAAGCCTCAGAAACAAACAAGAGGATGAAAATAAAGAGTTTGAATCCAGAAGCTTCAGTCAAACGTGATCCTTCAGTTTCAGCCTGGAAACGTGAAAACGTCTCCGAATCACATTTCAATCTGTTCTAAAGGGAGCGAGTGAAAAGAAGCTGAAACCGGAGGAACGTGGCGATCGACGACGACAAACCACTGACTTCAAATGAGAAGAAGCAGAGCAGAGAAACACTCAAGTCAAAGCTCAGTCACCGACGACGAGCAAAACATTTCTTCTGTTGGAATAAAACAAAATAAAGAAGAGGAGTGAAAAAGGATGAACGTCGAGGTGGAATCAGCGTCATGTCACGACTGGAGCCATAAAGTTAACGGAGGTATCAGATCCATAATGAAATAATCTCACACACACACACACACACACACAGTCGAGCGTCGCTCAGAGTACACACACACTCCATCATTGACACCATCACACTTAATTATGTTAATGTTTGTGAAACCGGTCGATCGGAACCGTTCACACACTCTCGTGTCAAAACACATTAACAACCAACTCATTACACAGCTTCGTCTCGGCGTCGAGCGACATTTAATAAATTACATTAACGTCGCAGGAAGTGCAGGAGACATTTGACTTGTTACTCATGCGAGATATTTACAGGATCTTCATAAAAAGTGTCTCTGACGTGTGGAAGAGAAACGGTGGAGGACGGAATACTGGGACGGACGGACAGAAGACATAATGTCTCTGGTCACTGGGAATCAAACACAAACATTACATTACTTTAATCTTCAGCTTGAATCATTAAACTAGAGCCGAATAAATCTTTTGACCTTTAAATTAACTCTGAGGGAGGTTGTGATCAAGGCCCTCCATTACCCCTACTGGCAAGAGGCTGTAACTGCAAGGCAAAAAAAGGTTGACTAAACAAATCAATTCAAAAACCTTTAAAAAACATTTTGAGAGAAGCAGAAGGCCCATTTTTCTATTTCATATTTCTATACAGTACGGTTTCACTGTAGTTTCAGGATTTCATTGGAGACACTGGGTTAGATTCAGCACGTCCCCGAAACACCAGAGACAAAGTCCAATGTCCTAAAACTGGAATAAGACCGAGGTTTTTGCTGCAGCGGTGGATCTGATCTGATCTGATGTGATTATATTGACGTTCTCTCGGCCTCAGCGGCTCTGACGGACTGTGTCCCTGCAGCTGTGATGGACGACGCCTCTCTAAAGACAAACTGACTCTGCTGTGTCTCCCTGTGTCTAAACAACACGAACCTCACCGGATGATATTTAATAAGTAACTGCCGTCGCAGCATTTTGGCTGAAAACTCCACTTTCTTTCTCTCTCTGTTTTTGTGTGTGAAGCCTCTCTGAGCCGGAGGAATCCGGCTTCAGTCGTTCCACATGACTGAGTCGGTGAAACGCTGGCTGTGCTGCGGTGGAGCTGCACTGAGCGGACACGCTCTGGACCAGCCAGCGTCCTGCTGCGTTTTCTAAAGCTGCAGAAAAAAGAAACGACTGGGAACTTTTTAAAACTGCAAGATTTGCCCCGTTTCCAGAGACGCAGCATCTTTACACAACTGCCTCAATCACAGAGACCCAGTGAAGCTGCGCTCAGGTGAGTCGGTGCAGAGCTGCACTCAGCACTACTCTGTTCAAATGAACACTAACTCAGGACGACAGTTATCCTCATCTCGGCTCCTCGTTCGCTTCTTTTCAGATGGAACCTCGTGAAAACACATGAACGCTCACGTGCACTAGGGAAAAGTCAGATTTCTAACCAGATTAAAAAAAGGACGAAAGAAGAAACCATTCAAATGAAGGTGAAGGACACAGGATGGGCACAAGCATCTCAGAGTTAAATCTCACAAGCTGCGGATCTTCTGCCTGATTGTTCTGAACTCACCCACAGCTGGTCTCCAGCAGACTGTCCCCGACCTGCAGAGACGCCATGCCGAAGTCCGCTATCCTGATGTTGTTCTTCTCGTCTAACAACAAGTTCTCCGGCTTCAAATCTCTGTGGCTGCAAACAGAAGAAAGATCGATTTTCCATGAAACTTGGAGGAAGGACGTGAAATAAATCAGGAGAGAAACCATTTAATCTTCATTCAGTCTGTGACGATTCTGGAGGTCGAGCTCACGAAGTTCCTGCTACAGAGAGAGAACTGCAGCGGAACCTGTGAGGTCCGACTGTCGGGATGGACGTTCACGTGCTTTTTGCTTTTTGCGTCTTTAAAATATGATTTGACTTTGGCCAATGAACTTCTAAGCTTTGGTTGTAGATTCGTTTCAAATGGACTCTGACTCCAGGTCAGTATCAGAGTGAGAGAAATGCATCTCTCTGATTCGTCCAGAGGAACAAACACACAGCAGAGATTCAATCTCGTCCTTCGAGTCCAAACGCTCTCGGCAGACTTTGCTTTGACGTGCGGTCGCTCTTCGATGCTCGGTGAAGCGGCCGAGCGTCGAGGAAGCGAAGGTGAAAACAGAGACGAAGACGAGCCGGAGGATTTAGATCAGTTCCGTTCTGTTTCCGTCTCCGGGGCATCGTTACCGAGCTTCACGGTGAGAAGAGTGGAACGCACCATATGGAGTGACTGTGGCAGAAGTCCAGGGCCGAGATGATCTGTCTGAAGAACTTTCTGGCCTCTTTGGGCGTTAACCGACCCTTCTTCACCAGGTAGTCGAAGAGTTCCCCCCCGGACACGTGTTCCAGCACCAGATACCTGCAGGAGCGGAGAGGGAACATCGTTTACAACACAGCTCACATGTTCAGGGGATAAATCCAAGCTGTTCTCAGACACGTCAGGAGGAGGATCTCTGGAGGAGGAGAGCATTTACAAGTTCATGCAAAATATAATATAATATTTGCATTTTAAGAATCAAGTCGATTAAAGTTAAAATGGAAGAATGCATCAGATTGATTTTAGCTCACGAGTGATTCTTTCTCTTTTTGCCCATGAACATTGTCTGTCACATTTCAACTTTACGCTCCAAATGTAAAAACACATCCGTCCTCTGATTGAATTTATTTCATATTTCCTCTTTGTTCTCAAAATGCATAAGATGAAGGTCTGGACACTGGACCAGAACCTCGGAGCTGCACAAACACAGTAGCTGAGTAAATCCTCAGTTTCATTTCTCTCGGAGCTAAAGAGGCGTTAATAAAATAATTGAGACATAAACTTCGGTGTTTGTCTGCGACGTGTCGAAGTGACGACAGAAACATCGACGTTAATCCCTGAGGCCCGTGTTGCCTTCAGTGTCTGTGGTTTAAAAATGTTTTATCTGCTCCTCTGTTCGTTTATCTCGAAGACGTCGCTGATCCTCGCTGTGCTCCGCCCCCTTCCTCCCTCCCCCGCTGTGATTGATGATCAGATTAAAGGATCCGCTCGAGCGTTTACCTGTCACAGCTATTTAAATTAGAAACATGTTGGCCTGTGATTTGTGTTTGCACACGGGATGACCATCCGTCCCCGTCCGCACATCATTAGGAAAACAAATCCCTGCTCCATTTGATGCCGGCGCCTTTATCAATTATTGAACAGCGTGTTCAGCCACGCCGCTGGAGCACGGACGCCACACGCAGCAGATTAATGTGCACAATAAAACACGGTTGTACATAAAATCCCTGAGATCAAAGTGCCGAAGTGTTCTGCTCAGTCCTGGGTTTTATATTTCACTGTTTTACATGAAGTGAAATAACAAATGAGACGTTTAACAAAAGATGAGAATCAATGAGACACTTCAACTCAACAAACTGAGACAGATTGTGATGATGGTGAACATGTGTCATACAAATCACAACTCTGCTGAACATTTATCTCCTCGATGTCTTTTCTCTTTCAGTTTAGTGTAAATGCAGTATTCGCGTGTACTTACAGGTATTTCTTGTTTTCGTAGACGTCGTGCAGTTTTAAAACGTGAGGATGTTCTATGAGTTTGAGAATCGCTATTTCCCGCTCGACCTGGAGAAACACAGGAGAACAAAACGGTTACACAACGACAACAAAGAGGTCGACAACACACACGAGAACACGTCGAGGTCAGACACTTCGAGTCTGTTTGACCAGAACCTGCAGATGAAACATTAACATTTCTGTCGCTGTCTAAACGCTACAATCGATCAAGCTAGCAGTCAATTAAACTTCCACGTTCTCCATCATTTGTGAAAACATTCAGAACAACGTTCAGAAGATCACGAGGCTGGGAGGCGCTCCAACTCGTGATCATAGTGAAGACGAGCAGGCAGCTTGAATACGTGAGAGGAGACGATGAGCGCAGGAGAAAGACAGAATAATTTTTTTGTGGGGTTTTGACGATGACTTTATCTGGTGCGTCTTTTTAACTCCTGTATTTATTAAATGTCTCTTCCAGCTCCCACCACAGCAGCTGCTTTATAAAGATCCATATCTTTATATTTTATATATTTATTTCAAACACGGCGATCGAACTAATCTTGTGTTGATTCGTCTGAGTTTAGATTTTCATCAGTCCTTCAATTAATGATCAGTCATCTGTCGATCAACCTCATGACTCTCGACCGTCTGTCCACAAACCTCTGAGTCATCCTGTCCTCGCTCGGGGGCGGAGACGTGACGGGTTGAAGAGGACAGACGTCACACAGAGACACCAGAAGAAGACATTTCATTTCCATCAGAGCTGCCAGACTTCAAAAGCTCCGTCAGGGCGAGTGATGGCGTCAAATAAATAAATAATATGAGATTTTCTTTTCATCTTTGGCTTTGGTTTCAGAGCAGAGCACCTCCTCCTGAACTCGTCTCCTCCTGAACCTCGTCTCCTCCTGAACTCGTCTCCTCCTGAAC